TAGCCCCGCCCCAGCTCAGCCCAGCCCCTCGGCTCAGCACCGCCGTCCGGCTCAGCCCCGCCCCGTCCCCTTCTTCCTTCAGTTCTCGGGATGCGGCGGAGCTGCCGCCCAATGTGCACCTGCTCACACTAGCCCGCTGGGGCCGGGAAATGCTGCTGCTGCGCCTGGAGCACCAGTTCGCTCTAGGGGAGGACATGGTCGGCAACCTGAGCTCTCCAGTTACCTTGGACTTGAGGGTGAGGAGGGCAGAGTGGGAGGGAAACAGGAGAGAAGCCAGCAGAGGGAGAGGGGAAACCTCGCGTTGACCCTCCCTCGCTCAGCCCCGCCATCCGCTGCCTGCAGGACCTGTTCTCTGCCTTCACCATCACCGACCTTAAGGAGACCACGCTGGCTGCCAACCAGCTCCGGGCCAAGGCCTCCAGGCTCCAGTGGGCACCAAACACGGGTGAGGGCTTGCCCCTGGGGTTGGGAGCTGGGGGCTGTGTGGAAGGTGTGGAGTGTTGGCCAAGACCCAGGGCAGCTCCAGGGTCTGTGGTGGTGTTCAGATCCAGGCTGGGGGTATCAGGGTCTTAAATAAGTACAGCAAACTAGTGGTGGATCTTGGGTTTCTGAGGTTGGAGTGCAGTCCCAAGGACAAGATCTGAGTCTCTGTCAGTGTCTAGTTTGGGAGTGGGTGGGGCTGTTCATCAACCTTGGGGTTTGCTTGACAATCCTTGAGGTGGGACTTGAGGGTGTGAGGGCAGTGGCCAGGCATTGGGAGGGACTTGGGGATCTGGGGAGGGATCCAGGCCCTGGGAAGCAATTGAAGAGTCTGGTAGTGAGGCCCTGGCGACAGATTTGAGGGTGTGTGGCTGTGTCCAGGCTCAGGGGAGGGAGCACAGGGGAGGGGGGAGTGAGGCAGAGTAAGTCTGCGTCCCTCATTCTTCCCCTGCACCTCCCCAGGCCCCACACTCAAGCCCTCTCCCTCCCGGCTGGACCCTGCCAGCATCACACTGCAGCCCATGGAAATCCGCACCTTCCTGGCCTCCGTCAGGTGGGAAGAGGAAGGCTAGACCTGCTGGGGGCGCTGCCCCCTTTCCAGCTGAGCCCCCTCCTGCAGGGGTCAGGCCAACTTCCCCTTCTCTTCTTGCTGCTGTTACACCAGTGAAAGCCATTAAAATGCCACTACCAAGCCTTGGGTCAAGGTGTGACTGAATTTCTTTTTGAGGGTGATAGAATTTATGACCCAGCAAGGTCTCCAGACTTGAGCTGACCCTTGACCCGAGGCCTTGCAGAGAGGTCACTGCCTGGATCCTTACACCAGACTCTATACCAGTGGTTCTCAACCTTGGCTGCACATTAGAATCACCTGGGAATCTTTTTAAAATTTTGATTTCTGGGCCTCATCCTCCGGGAAATTCTGTTTCTTTGTTATGGGGTGGGGCCACAACATTAGTAACAAAGAAACAGAATTTCCGGAGGATGAGGCCCAGAAATCGGGATTTTAAAAAGATTCCCGGGTGGTTCTAATGTGCAGCCAAGGTTGAGAACCACTGCTCTATACTGTTCACACCTGCCTCATCATCCACCACACGCTCAGTGAACCATACACACCTGGGGCCTCCTAGACCTGGCCCGGAGGCGAGGAATCTGGGAGGGCCTGGGGGAGGAAGTGGATTCAGTAGGTCCCAAAGTGGGGACTGGGACAGGTGGATATTGGAGTTGCAGACCTCCCAGGAGGCAGAGGCAGAGTCTGGCCTGCTCTGGGTCAATTTTGGAAGGAGACCTTTTGATGAAATAGGTAGGAGGTTGAGAGTAAAAACGAAGTGACTTTGGTGTGCAGGCCCCTTGAAGGCTCATTGAGGCCACGGAGGGGTGTGGCTTAACCCTGGTCAAGAGGGCGGAGTTTAATTCGGGAAGGTCTGAGCTCAGCTGGGAAGGGGAGGGCTGAACCAATAAGGAGGTGGGGCTGGAGCCGGGTAAGGCGGTGTCAGGTGACCAGCATTGCACCCTCTCCCCAAGTTGGATGTGCCTCCAGAAAATATTTCTCAGGCCTCTTTGGGGCAGGATTGCGGGTTGCAGAGGATAGGCATGGGCCTAGGCCAGCTAGGAACCTCTGGGGAGTGTTCCCTCTATTCCAGCGGTTCTCAGCCTGTGGATCGCGACCCCTTTGGCGGTCAAACGACCCTTTCACAGGGGTCGCCTAAGACCATCCTGCATATCAGTTATTTACATTACGATTCATAACAATAGCAACATTACAGTTATGAAGTAGCCACGAAAATAATTTTATGGTTGGGTCTCAACAACATGAGGAACTGTATTTAAAGGGCCAGAAGGTTGAGAACCACTGCGTCTATTCCCACTTTGCTGAGAGTTTTTAATCATAAATAGCTGCTGGACTTTATCAAATGCTTGTTCTGCATCTGTTGATATGATCGTGTTTTTTTTTTTAACTTAAATTCTTTAAAGTATTACATAAGTCTCCTTTCCCCCCCCCCCCTCCCCCTTGACCTCTTACCGGCTGCCCCCACCCTCCAGCACATGCCCTCACCCCCCTACTGTCTGTGTCCATTGGTTATGCTCATATGCATGCATACAAGTCCTTTGGTTGATCTCTTACATAATAAGTGAAGGGCTAACAATAATCAGGATATGTCTAAAGAAGCTAGGAGAGGAGACATGTCCTGTCATATATCAGAATTTATGATGAAATTACAGCAATTAAGATCCTGTGGTTTCTATCCTTTAATTTGTATATGTGGTATATCACATTTATGTTTTGCGGATATTGTGCCAACCCTGCACCCCCATAATAAATCCCACTTGATCATGGTGTATGATCTTTTATTAAAAAATATATTTTTATTGATTTCAGAGATGAAGGGAGAGAGAGACAGAAACACCAATGATGAGAAAGAATCATTAATCCGCTACTTCCTACACGCCCCACACTGGGGATGGAGCCTGCAACTGGGCATGTGCCCTGACCAGGAATTGAACGGTGAACTCCTGGTTCATAGGCCTATGTTCAACCACTGAGGATATTTTTCCATTGATTCTTAGAGAGAGTGGAAGTGAGAGGGAAAGACAGAAACATTGATATGAGAGAAACACATTGATTGGTTGCCTCCTGCACTCGCCCTGACCAGGGCCCTGGGCTGGGGAGGAGTCTGCAACCGAAGTACATGCCCTTGACTGGAATTGAACCTGGGACCCTTTGTTCTGCAGGTCGACACTCTATCCACTGAGCCAAACTGACTAGGGCAGAATTTATCCATCTCTTCCAGACTGTCCAATTTGTTGGCATTTGGTTGTTCACAATATTTTCTTAAAATCCTTTGTATTTATTTGGTGTCAGTTGTTACTAGTACTCTCTTTCATATCTGATTTTATTTATTTTGGGCCTCTTTTTTTCTTGATGAGTCTGGTTAAAGGTTTGCCAATCTTGTTTATCTTTTCAACGAACCAGCTCTTGGTTTCATTGATCTTTTGTACAGTATTGCTTTTTATTTTTTTTTATTTTTTTATTTTTTATTTTTTTAAACTTCCTACATTTCTTTTTTTTTAAATACATTTTATTGATTTTTTACAGAGAGGAAGGGAGAGGGATAGAGAGCTAGAAACATCCATGAGAGAGAAACATCGATCAGCTGCTTCCTGCACACTCCCCACTGGGGATGTGCCCGCAACCAAGGTATGTGCCCTTGACCGGAATTGAACCTGGGACCCTTGAGTCCGCAGGCCGACGCTCTATCCACTGAGCCAAACCGGTTCGGGCTATTTTTTTTATTGTTATTTTTTAAATATATTTTATTGATTTTTTACAGAGAGGAAGGGAGAGGGATAGAGAGCTAGAAACATCCATGAGAGAGAAACATCGATCAGCTGCCTCCTGCACACTCCCCACTGGGGATGTGCCCGCAACCAAGGTATGTGCCCTTGACCGGAATTGAACCTGGGACCCTTGAGTCCGCAGGCCGACGCTCTATCCACTGAGCCAAACCGGTTCGGGCTATTTTTTTTTATTGTTATTTTTTAAATATATTTTATTGATTTTTTACAGAGAGGAAGGGAGAGGGATAGAGAGTTAGAAACATCAATGAGAGAGAAACATCGACCAGCTGCCTCTTGCACACCTCCTACTAGGGATGTGCCCACAACCAAGGTACATGCCCTTGACCGGAATCGAACCTGGAACCTTTCAGTCCGAAGGCCGATGCTCTATCCACTGAGCCAAACCGGTTTGGCCAGTATTGCTTTTTAGACTATATTTCATTTATTTCTGTTCTGATCTTTATTATTTCCTTCCTTCTACTCACTGTGGGCTTTGTTTATTGTTCTTTTTCAAGTTCCTTTAAGTATAAAACTACATTGTTTCTTTGAGCTTTTTCTTGTTTCTTGAGGTAGGCCTGTCAGGCTATGAAGTTTCCCTCTATCCGGCAGATTTTGGGTTGTTGTGTTCATTGGTTTCAAGGTATTTTTTGATTTCTTCCTCGATCTCATTGTGAACCCATTCATTGTTTAGTAACATATTGTTCAGCGTCCATGTTTTTGTGCTTTTCAGTTTTCTTGTGATTGATTTCAAGTTTCATAGCATTATTGTCAGAGGAAGATGCTTGATATGATTTCAATCTTTTTTTTTTTTTTAACATATTTTGATTTTTTACAGAGAGGAAGGGAGATGGATAGAGAGTTAGAAACATCAATGAGAGAGAAACATCGACCAGCTGCCTCCTGCACACCCCCTACTGGGGATGTGCCCGCAACCAAGGTACATGCCCTTGACCGGAATCGAACCTGGGACCTTTCAGTCCGCAGGCCGACGCTCTATCCACTGAGCCAAACCAGTTAGGGCGATATGATTTCAATCTTAAATTTACTGAGACTTGTTTTGTGTCCTAACATGTGGTCTATCCTAGAAAACATTCCATGTGCATTTGAAAAGAATGCATAGTCATCTGCTTTGGGGTGGAATGCTCTGAAGATATCAATTAAATCCATTTGATCCAGTGTGTCATTTAAGGCCACCATCTCTTTGTTGGTTTTTCTGTCTGGAAGATATATACATTGATGTCAATGGGGTGTTAAAATCTCCTATTAGAACTGTATTACTGTCAGTCTCTCCCTTTATGTTCATCAAGATTTGCTTTACATATTTAGGTGCTCCTATGTTGGGTGCATAAATGTTTACAAGGGTCATCTCCTCTTGTTGGATTGATCCCTTTATCATTATGTACTGACTAGAGGCCCGATGCACGAAACTTGTGCAAGAGTAGGCCTGTCTTCCTCCGCTTCCTTCTGGCACCGGGGACCTCGGCTTCCCTCTATCTGCCGGCAGGCACCTGGGACCTGGGCAGTCCCGGCTTCATCCGGAAGGTTGTCTGGTCTAGTTAGCATATTACGCTTTTATTATTATTATAAATACACTATAGCCTTGGTTTTTTAAAAAATATTTTATTGATTTTTTTACAGAGAGGAAGGGAGAGGGGTAGAGAGTTAGAAACATTGACGAGAGAGAAAGATCGATCAGCTGCCTCCTGCACACTCCCTACTGGGGATGTGCCTGCAACCAAGGTACATGCCCTTGACTGGAATCGAACCCGGGACCCTTGAGTCTGCAGGCTGACGCTCTATACACTGAGCCAAACCGGTTAGGGCTATAGCCTTGTTTTTAAAGTCTATTTTTTTTCAGATATAAATATTGCTACCCCAGCTTTTTTTTCCTTTCCATTTGCATGAAATATCATTTCTATTCCTTTACTTTTAGTCTGTTTGTATCTTTCCTTCTGAGGTGGGTCTCTTGAAGACAGTATATACATGGGTTTTGTTTTCTTAGCCATTTACATTTAAAGTGACTATTGATCCTCTCTGTCTGTTAGTCTCAGTCACTTATTGAGTCTCTGGCTGTAGTCCTCAGCAGGGCATAAGAGAGGTTCCAATGGGTGGGACTGTTGCTTCCCCCAGGCTAATACTGCAGATGGGAAAGCTGTCTGAGAAAGATGGCTTCAGTAGTATGGGGGAATGACAGCACAGGGATTTGGCTGTCCCTCAGCTCTCCTCCCAGAGCCACCAACCCCAGACTCTCCTCACGCAGCTGTGGTCCACTCTGCCCTCACTCTACCAGAACCCAAGGTGAGTGACTGCAAACGAAATTTTGTGTGTGGGCCCTTTAAGAGGGTGCATGCGTTTCTCGCC